AGGATCCCCATGTTATGTTTTATTGATACACTAGTATGTATTCAATAGGGACAGTATACATTATAGTATGTGGCTGAATACTCATAATTAATATGGGTTTTAGATCTGAGACTGATAAGAAAGCTTGGCTGAGCATTCAAGGGGAGAAAGGAGATTAGTTAGGATTGGTTCCTTGATGGATTATTGATGGATTGTTGATGGATTGTTGATCCAAAGCAACTGCTTATACCGTATAGCGGAAAATTTTTGTGGCCCAAAATTTTTGTTGATTTTGCTTTTTTTCAAAATCCATGAAAATTAAATCTGCAAAAATTGATTTAATACGGTTCAAGATGGCCGAAAATTAAAGCCACAAAATTGATTTTTGAATGGATCCGCAAAACTTTTGGGCCACGAAAATTCTCCGCTATACGGTACTCACATTATAATTGAATAAGTTGCGTGGGTGTCTGCAGGTGTTAGCTAATGTTGATATGTACATTGATTGATGTTGTATAAGGACTTGTAAATGTATGCAGAAGTATGTGTGTATAGTCCAGAAATTAATAAGTAAAAAATAATTAAAATATAAACACTACAACATTACCTGTTAACTTATGTTATTTTTTACATTTTAGGTGATATAGAAAATCATCCTGAGGGTAAGAATTTATTATTATCATCGTTATTATTGTTATTATAATTTATTTTTTTAAAGACATTCTAGACAAAAAGCCACTACCAAGTGACCTCCAGAGGCTTTTTGACAGTTCTTCATCTCAATACATGCTCATTGGTACTGCACTTGGTGTTAAAGTTGATGATCTGCCACCTCTTCCTCAGTCAACCACTACTAACCTTATACTAGTGTTCCAGAGATGGATAAAGTCCAATGAAGGAGTAACCTGGAGGAAAGTACTTCAAGTTTGTGAAGATTATCCTGATAAGTTTGGAGAAGTAAAGGCTGGTGTGGACAAGTTTCTTGAATCAGATAGAGCCCGTGCGAATTATAAAAACTAACAATAATTAATTGACTGTCATTACATGATACCATTACATAATAGTGTAGTCAGATTTTATAACTAGCTTTTGTTTCATTATCTTGCACATACATTGAATGAGGTCGTCTTAACATTAATTTTAATTTAATTTTGTCTATTGTTTTTGTGAAGGAGTAAAACAAGATTTTTATTTGAAAATTTGATCAGTGATCCTATGAGTTGAAGCCTGTTTAGACAATAATGAGACACTACCTCACGTGGACCTGAATTTATTGAAGTAAATGAATAATAACAATAATAATAATAATAACCATGCTTATAGTTGACCAATCAGATTTTTTATTTAAATTTAAAAAACATAATAAACTGAAAGTGGTAACAAGTGAAACTTTACCAACTTTGCGTAGAAAGTTTGAGCTGATTTTGATCAAATTTGGATTTATCTATAAATTTTTTACTTTGCCCTTTATCTGAAATAATGACAAAGTACTGACCTCCATCCATCCTCAACTATACGGCTCTACACTGATGACATGTAATGTCCTAATTGATACAAAGGTATTATAATGAGTGTTGTACATTATTATTAATTATTTTTTAAAGTATCATTATTAAGTATAATTAATATAACTTAAATGTTAACAACAAGTGCTTGTTTAATGAGTTGTTTTTGCTGAGGGTTGAGTCAGTACTGCAGGGAAGGAGACATTGAACCTAATGATGAGGTCTCCTCTCTCATTAGGGTCATCAACCAGGGGCATACCCTCTCCCACAACCCTTATCTCTCTACCAGGATATATCACATCAGTTATTGACTTATTGGTACTGTTATGAGTCTATTGTCCAGTGTCAGTAGTTCTACTGCTATAGCCCATACTATAGACCCCCTGCAGTAGGCGTGGTCAATGTGTGTAGGCGTTTCATGTCGGCCATGTTGGTGTACATGTGTTGCAGCAATGACTGCAAGAAACATAGCTTTTCGCCAGGATACTTTTCCTCTCTGGAAAATCATGATGCCAGGGAGCAGTACCAAGAAAAAATCTCTAGTATTAATGGATTGGATCCTTATGAAACATTGAGAAGTGATTGGTTGACCACTTGACCTCATCAGGCTCAAAATGACTATGCTAAAATGCTTTTTATGCTTTTGGAGTTTTAGTTAAGATAATTTTAGTATTAAGGCTACTCCACAAGTTGGTGCTAGACCCTCAATACTGCACAAATCTCTATATGCATGGTTTTCATTGTTTTCTTCTCTTGATTAGTGTGTTGTAAAGCTTGAATAATAATAACATAGATGGTATGCATGCATAATAATAATAATAACATAGATGGTATGCATTCAGCCCAAATTTTTTTTGGGCTGGATAGGTGAGGGAAATTCTTGTTAAAGCTCCAAATGACAAATTTAGAATTGTCATTGCTAAGGTAAGTGAATTCAGTTGCAGTCAAGTTATGCTAATGCTCTATGGGTAAACCATTCTATGCCTGAGAATTATTGATCCCATTGCAGAGAAGGATAGAAAGATTGTAGCAGGTCATTGTGACTGCATGGCAGGTCTTGGAGATATCTGCTCACATATAG